CCCCCCCAACGCTTCCTTCTCCCCGTTGGCTCGCCGTGTGTATACGTGCATGTGATTCCTCCTCATTACAGCTGCACTAATTACACTCTCATTAATGTAATTAATATTCACTCATCCAGCTCCCACAAGTCACAACATCAAAACACAGCAGCATGGGCTGAAGAACGCACATGTGCGCTCTGTCCACAGATGAGCGCGCACAGGAGCCGCAGCGCTCACATGGACGACGCGCAGGTTCCACGTATGCCGCGTGCACACCATGAKAAAACAGAACACGTATAGAAACCACAGAAGATGTTTTGTGGAACAATTTCTGTTCATGAAATCATCAAACAGGTTCCAGATTTTGGAAACAATCTTTGCTCAAAAGTCAAAGTTGAAAGTCAGTTTTGGACGTCGGTGAGCTTAAATGTACTGAGCGGCTAAAAAAGGTGGATTTTGCATGATGTGTCCCCTTTAACATGCTGAGACAAAATAAGAAACTGTTCTGTGGACAAATCAGAATTTGACATTCTTTCAAAGAACCCGCACCATTCACACACACAGGTTCAACYCAGAAAGATTCCAGACCAGGATGCAGCCCTGCATCACTTTCACCACGATGCTACAGATCTAAAAACTCTGCTTCCACGCTGCCCTCTCTGATGGTATGGGGGTGCACTGTTGCCTAGTTTACACATCTGGAGAGACTCCTTTGATGCAAAACCATACATGCAGGTTTTAGAACGACTAATGCTCACATTCTGATATGARATCTGGGAAGACCTTGCGTATTTCAAGCAAGACAATGCTAAAGCACAGTAAAGCAGAACAACAAAATTCAGTAAAGACTGAGACCAGCTAGACACTGTTCCCCCCKAAAAAACTGCAGCAGCTGTTCTCCTCAGTTCCACGATGTTTACAGACTGTTGTTAAAAGAAGAGGGGAAGCATGATGGTGGTAGGRGTGTCAGTTTTCTCAATTTATGCRGCCACCAAATTTGAAACGTGTCTTGAAATGCTCATGTGATTAGTGATGTCATCTCTCACACAGTGGCTGTGGGACATGGGCACCAGCCACCCAGAAAGGAAGTTGTGGGTAACGATGATAGATGGATGGATGGATGGATGGCGATGTTTTAAAGCTATAGGTTACCCTGACACAGAACTTAATAATTAATTCCTGGGATAAAAATAAAGCAGTCTGGATTTAAACGTTTCTGACATGAATACAAAAAAAAAAAACCCACAACAAAAAAAGTAGAACAGCTGCTTAAAAGTGACCCACCGCATGGCTCTCAGTGCAATTTTGTACGCCAGTTCAGCGTCGTGAGGTAGCAGAGAGGTGAAGAGATAGCGGGCGAAGGTGTGCATGGGGACACTCTCTCTGTGGACAATCTCTCCGAGGCCAGAATACTGACCAGCTGTTTGAATAAAAACAAGACAGAGCAAAATGATCAACAAAAGAAGCAAGAAAACGACATTTTCACTTGATTAATTGGGCGATTTACGTTTTATTATATAGAGCACACATCACTAATGCAAGTTTTTATGTTGCTGAGTCATGATTTCCTGTTTGTGTGACCATCCGGTCTTTCCCCCCACTTTCAGTCCGGATGAGGCGAAAAGCCGCGCGGTGCTAAAARCCAACTGTGACGTCGAAAACATATGGTCGCGTGTGCAGACTTGGCCTTGTGCCCTCCTCTTTTCCTCCTCCTCTTCCTGCGCCCTGCCCCCCCACACACCTCTGGTGGGTTATTTTAAAGCCCAGCGGGCCTCTAAACCGCAGACCACATCACAGAGTGGCGCGGCTGCAGCCTCCTGGGGCCCGCCGAGGCCTCAGAGCCGAGCGCTGTGTTAGCAAAAGAGAGCCAGAGGTGGGTGGTCGCGCACCGGGATGAGGCCAGGCAGGGCGGGGCTTTGGGTGGGGGGGCTGGGCTGGGGTTTGGTTCTTCCAGTATGTACCACCATCACCACTACTACCGTCCTCCTCCTTCTCCTCCTCCCACATAAACACACTCTGTTCTGGCCTCAGTCCTGTGGACGCACACACACACGCTCACACAATAGTCCCCGTGTTGCTGCGAGACGAGCAGCGTTCTGGTCCGGCCCAGAAAAGCTCGGCCTCTATTTGCACCGCAAAATGAAGAGATGATAAATAGTGAGAAGGAGTTAAACGTTTTTTTTTTCTTGTTTTAGTAAGAATGTCTAAGCTCTCCATGTGTGGGTGGTTCAAAATGACAGGGAGGAGGCGTGCTTATGGATATATTTAGACTGAAATTTTGTAAAGTAAAAGAGAAAATAGTAACAAGACTGTACTTAAAGGGGATATATCATGCAAAGTCCACGTTCTTGGCCGTTAAATACGTTTTTTGTGAACTTGGAGTCTCTAGGAGTGAAGAAAATATGAATTTAGTTCCTCATGGTGCTGCAAAGATATCTTTATATTCTATTTGGGTCATATTTTTAAACTCTTCTCTATTTTCTATGACGTTTTCTGAACTATTACATCACAGAATTCGAAACAAAACTGCCAATATGGCACCGCTGCATTGTCGTAAACCCCTCTAACAAACTCAAATAGACCACTCTGGAAGCTAGATTTAAAGAGACAGCATCAAAACGAGTTGATCTGAGGCAAATCTCAGAAAAGTGGTGAAAGAGGGGCTTGTGGAGTTACAATAAGGAGGAATTCYGACCAAAGCATTCCAGTTCCACTTTAGATCGACCCCAGCTGAATGATTTAAATGAGAAAAAGAAGGATTTGAAAGCCTGATATGGCTCCTTTAATTGTTGGTTTAGCTTAATTACTAAATATTTAATATGTGTACTGTGTTCTATTCTGAATATAATGAGTTTATGAGATTTGTTTCTTATTTAGATTTTACACAACACTCCAATTTAATTCAGTTTTTTAAGTTTAGGGTTGTACAATGAAAGAAAAGGACACGCATGTCGAAATATAATTTGCTTGCTTCCTCACCTTCCAGCAGAAAGACGGCCTGTTTACGGAAGATCTTCACCAGCGAGTCGTCCAGTTCCATCTCCTGTAGCTTGGCCAGCAGCTGCTCTTCGTTGCGACACACCTTTTCCTGAGCGTACAGCCCGTCGGGCATCACCCGCTGCTGGCCCAGGCCCATCAGAGCCGTCTCCACCGCCAGCGCCGCGTACGATTCGCCGTCTCCCAGCAGCCGCTGCACGGGCATCCGCTGCAGCTCGGCTCGGCTCACCACACTGGAGCAGTCTGTGGAGATCAGACATACATTTTTTTTTTTGCTGTAGTCAGCAAGGAACAGATGTCAGCTTAAAAAACTGTACAATCTATAATCTTGTGTTTGGCACGCAAAGTCAAAATGAACAAATACGTGTTTATGCTCCCATAATGACATGTCTTCTTCAGTTTGTTTAACGCAGCACTCAGTGTTGCTTTGTATGTGGTAGTTACATCACCCTCGCGTGTCATGATATATCACACYTTTTACTTGAAACTTAAACTATAAAGGCTCGAGTTATAGCACGTGTGAACTGTCGAACAGTACCTGAGAGGTCTAAGCAGGTGTTGGAGCCCTCCTCGCCCGCTCGTCCCGACTCCGTCAGGGTATTGAACAGGGTGCCGATGGGGTCCAGAGGGTGTCCCACCCAGCCCTCCATGTTGGTTATGGAGGTATGACCTTTATGGAGCAACTCTAAGACAAGACAAAGCACATTAAGACAATTATTTACACATTTGACTCGAGAAATTTGTTTATTTTTATTTTGAAGTTTCATCACAATATGTCATGCTCACTCTCAGTATAAAGTTTAGATTTATTGCAATTTTTTTGTGTTTATCAAGCTCAATTGGCTGCAGCGTCCACAATGAATCAGGTTGAAACCRGAGAACCATTCAGTAAGTTTTATTTCTAGACTGTAGTCCTCTAAGTTCTGGGGTCTAAATGGCCATTTTTGCTCATTTTGAATTTAAACTATTTACCAGAATGCTGACTACGCTCTCTTCTCCCATGTCCAAAAACACTCCCTCACGTTCTCCACAAGCGTACAGACAAACCTTTTTTATTGGTTGCTTTAGAAATGTGGTGCATTTCAGGAAATCAGAAAAATGGGCGTCACGTTGCGTTCAAGCACTTCCTGGTCACAAAACYTTCACTCAGGGGTGTAGCACCAAATTCTGGGCCCTGTACACTCTCGATGTCAGTGGGCCTCTATCCATGCCAAAAAATAAAATCAGGACTTCCATGGGCCCCTCTCCCTTCTTGGGCCCTGGGTACTCAGAACCACTCCCCCCCAACTTCCACGCCCATGCGTTCACTGACTGTGCAGAAAATGCGTCGAAAATGCTCACAATATTATAGCGACAATGATGCACCACAAATCTGGTTTTATTTGGAAGTAAATTAAAAAAACAAAAACACCATTTTTATAGAGTTTGAAGCCTGTGCTGTCCAACCCAGTTGAAACGAGCACTCGGAAAAGTGCCTTTTTTGTCGCATTAGCCCTTAAGAGGGCTAAAATGTACCTTTTTTGTGCCGTCGAAAGTGCTCCAGCTGCCTCTGCTGCTGCCTCCGTAACGTGTTCACCACAGCGATGGCCAGTCGCAGGGCTTCTCTYGGGTAACCGTGAGAACGCAAGGCATCGACCCGAGCGCACGCCGTTGGGACGTGTTCTGAGGGGAGAGGGAAAAAAAATGTTTCATTCAACCCGGATACACTTTCATTCAGAACCCAACAATAAAACGCGAACGTATCGCCTCACCGTGCCATAAAGGCCACCCCCGGGAGTCGAACAGGGAGCCCTCCTGGCTGTCGTGGTAGCAGTAGTTGGCGTAGAGGTCGCTGGCGATGATGTGCTGAAGGTGTCGGTCCTGCCAGTGCAGGTCGCAGGCCTCGATGGCTCGCGTGAACACGGTCCTGTGGGGTCGCATCTCTGCAGAGAGGGATTCAAAGATCCATCTTTTTTTTAATTGTTGTTCTGAGAAAAACTTGGCTTAGAACCATTAGTTTATTCTGCTGATTCTTCTCTGAAAAGCACCAACATTTTAAAAATTTGATAATAAATAAATAAAAATCCACAAATGAATAAACTCTTTTCACGTTTTTGCTCAAACACTAGAAAACATGACCGTCACCTCAAGTGGCTTCCACTCAACAGGAAAATCAGTGTTTTTGAAAACTGTGAGACACTTTTCTCCATTAAGTGATTCAGTGCTTCTAATAAAATAAAAGACCTTGTAACTCATTAAAGCAAAACCAAAACTAAAGACAATTTTGATCAAATCCTGGAAACATGATAAGCATTTTATACCACAGGATATGACATTTAAAGTTTCAGTAAAAAAACAACTCAAATGATTCGTGGCACTTAGTGAATTACTCTCAGATACCCAGAGGTGTCAGGTAACTAAGTACAAATACTTTGTTACTTTACTTAAATAGAAATTTWGATCATTTATATTTTAGTGGAGTAATTATTTTTCAGCCTGCTTTTTACTTCTAGTCCTTACATTTTAATTCAATTACCTGTACTTTCTTCTCCTTACTTTTTAAAAACGCAGAAAGTATTTCATTTCTATTTAACTTTGACTTGTTTTTATCCCATCTTTCCATTGTTCAGAGAAAAATGAATAGAAATCTATCCAGATACAAAGGAAGCCCATGGATAGAGTGAGTTTGATTGTGGTTGGATGAGAAGTGTAAATATAAACCATTCTGACATCCTAGTGGATTGAACTCACTCCATCACACCTACATCTCATTCCAGCAGGACAGACTGTAGCAGACGTAGCCTAGAAAGAAGATGATCGTGGCTGAAACAAGTCAGTTAATCGCAATTTTTTTCAACTTTAACATTTCATTTAACATTATACTCCTTATTGACTTTAGAAGAAGCAAAAATTTGTGCTCATATTTAGACGTCCTATTTTGCAAATGCTGCCTTCTTGAAATTTGGTATGCTTGTTTGTCTTTGTGTTTATGGTGTATAATGATGTGATTGTGATGCTGTGTTTCTAGTGTTTTATGTGCTGCAGAACAGGAACCTGCTGTAAAACAGCAATTATGTTGAGTCAGGCTTGATTTTTAGTGATCTTTTCCTGTTAAATCAATAAATCAAATCAAAAAGGGTGGGGGTACGCTATATAGTGGCACAGCCGAAGCCAGGGCTATTCAACTAAACTGCTCCGGGGGCCACAGTTACTGCAGGTCAGCAGCTCAGGGTCCGAACATCCAGCAATTAAAGTCATTATGTAAATAAACTAAATATTACAAATATATGTTACATTTGAAATTGTTTATTTTGCTGCATTCATTCATGAATACAACTTACAGAACCCTATGTAATAACGGTAAAGATAATAAAACAACATCAAAAACAAAACTAAAACGTTATGCCTCCTATTTAACACAAATACTATTTTGACATCTCTGACTTGCCAAATTTTTAAAACAATTTTATTTTTACTTTCATAGTTTTACCTTCAACTGTTTGTAGTTTTAACTGTATTGGATGTTCACAAAAATGGTTTTGAGATGAATGAACCAATTGACGGGCCGGACTTTGGTCATTCGTGGGCCAGATGTGGCCCGCGGGCCGCCAGTTGAATAGCCCTAACCTAAGCTTTTATCCTTAATGGCTTTTTTTTTAAGTGTTCATTACTTTTACTTTTATACTTTAAGTCATTTTAAAATCAGTACATTTATACTTTTACTTGAGTAAAAAGCTTGAGTTGACACTTCTACTTKCAAACAAGTATTTTAAACCCTAGTATCTATACTTCTACTTAAGTAATGAAAGCGAACACTTTTGACACCTCAGATAGTACCACAATAAGTGACAAAACGACAACATTTTCTAACGTGTTGATGATTTTGTGCATCAGAAGTGACGAACACACCGAACGCTCCCGCCTCTGACCTTGGTTTGCGTGAGCGCCCTGGGGCAGCGAGTGGGTGAGGTTGGGCAGCTCGTTGCCGTGGTTGCCGTCCTCCCAGGGGCAGACGTCCACGCTGTTCCACCGGCGCAGCTGGCGCAGCCACGACGATTTCTGCTCGGGTTTACAGTGGGGGTTCAGCACGATGCACATCCACAAGGCACCTGGACACACAAGCAGCAGACACGCACGCTTTCAGCAGCCCGCCCCACTCCGTCACCGTGTAAACAATTATGCTAACAACGTGGGAAGGTGCGCCTTTAAAAATAAAAAAAAAACACGTGAATATGTGTGAATCTAAAAAGCTTGAGGCGCTTTTCAAGGAGCATTACATCCTTTTCTAGTCCCTTGGAGAACCGTCTGCACACCTCCGCCATCTTGCACTCAGATCCAAAACTCTGAAAACAGAGAAGCTAGCTCATCCAGAGGCGAAGCTGCTCTGCGCASGCATCGTTTTGGAGTAAATTGGAACAAACAGAATATGAGAAGTGGTGGCGTCTCCGGGGAACCCGAGCGCATTCGGGGGATTTTTACTCTGGAGAGTGCCGGGGATGTGTACAACTCTACGAAGCGAGTKGGGCGGTTGCGWTGCATGCGTGCGCACSAAGTCAAARGYATMMMTTTTTTTTTMGGGAAGGACAAAAACAAGGATGGAGGCAGAGCATCAGGCGTGCAGAGGGAGGAGAGAGGGAGAGAGAGAGGAAGCATACAGAGGAGAATGGAAAATAGAAGATGATTTACAAAAGGAGACGGAGCTTTGTGTCTAGAGGAGAACTTAAAGAAGAGGAAAAACAAAAAGAAGTGTGTGTGTGTGTGTGTGTGTGTGCCGAGAGGCAGCGTTCACACATCAGGCGGAGTGATAAGGACTTGGCAAGAAAAGGTTTTGAAGTGTGGACTTCAAAGAGACCGTGCACACACTTCTAAAAATACGTGGGATCGAAACAGACGAGATCACGGTGCTGTCCTCACAAAGTGCCGAACAAGAGCAAAGTAAGAAATAAATACAAAAACCAAACAGCATCATCATCATCAAGAGCAGCAGGAAAGAAGGAAAAAACAACAAAGACTGGAGATAACATGACTGCTGTCCTGGTGATGGGCTTGTTGTGTTTTTGTGTGTGTGTGTGTGTGTGTGTGTGTGTGTTTTGTACAGCGAGTCTGTCAAAAGGAGTGTGCTCCGGATCAAACCAAACAAGCACGTTGGTTAGCAGCTCTCTGTCACGCCGACTAAAAATACAATGAAAAGTGTTTGAAAACACTGCAGAGGTGAGGCACAATGTGCCGCATTAAACGGCTTTTAATTTCACAAAGATGTCGCGGAGCTGCCAAACCTGCAGTCACTAACAGAGACAGGAACCCTGAGCTGTCAGCGACGAGGACGGGGAGGCTGAGACTGTGGGCTTTCTTGGACACACACACACACACACAAAAAAAGGCAAACAGAAAACAAAAATGTTTCTTCTTTTGCCTTTGTGTCAGCATCTAGATTTGATCACCCACCTCGCTAAATCTGTCAGAGCTCTTGTGTGTGCACTTTTTATAGGAGCGCCTGCGATGTC